TCGGCGGAGTATGTGCGGGAACTGCATGCTTGCTGGTCAGACACCAAGGCGTTTTCACGTCTGACGACGGATGGCAGGGTCCTGGCAGCTATGCAGGAGGCACCCAAGGTTGGCTTGGGGCAGATGCCAGCGGTGGAACCGGGCATTGCCTCTCTTATAATCCCGCCTGATGAGGCCTTGCGGCCCAATGCCCGTTGTCCGCGTCCTCAGTGCCGTATTACCGACGACCTTCTCTGTAAGGCCTATGACTCTGGGGCCCGCATGGGCCGGATTGGGAACTCTCTCTCCCATCTTATGCTGGCCCTGTCTTCCTCCTTGGAATCTGTTCCGCTGGATCATGCCACGCAAGGCCTGGTTGATGCATCTCTGCAGGCCTTTGCTCTTATGACGAGGGAACTTGGACGCACACTCTCCACACTGGTTCATGCTCGCCGCCAGGTCTGGTTGGCGCAGTCACCACTAACTGAGCCTTGTAGGAGGACCCTCCGGGCCCTGCCTGTGGTCCCGGGGGAGCTTTTTGGTTCAGCGGCACTGGACGCCTTGGACCGTACGGCTCAGGCCTCTAGAACGAGGCAACAGCTGGCAGGGCTTCACAGACGTGATCGCCAGCCAGTAAGCACCTGGGCAGCTGCAGGTCCTTCACGGAGGTCCTTAGTGCCTTCTCCTTCTCCCACTGAGCCCCAGGGTCTGTTACCAGGTCAGAGATCGGTCCGGGGACCTGCTCTAGATCGGAGGAACAGAGCTCGAGACCAGGCTGGGACGAGGTCCTTTCATCCCTTTCGAGCCGCGCAGTCTGGCCGGCGTCCTCCCGGGCCTTTGAAGGGCCGGGGGACCCGCAGATGATGCCTTAGGGCCGGCGGTCGGTTATTTTTCCCCGGGACAGTTCAGCTTCTGGGCTGCCCACACCCCGGACTTGTGGGTGTTGTCCACCCTGTCCCGGGGGTACTGTCTTCAATTCCGCCGCCGGCCACCTATCCCTGGCCGGGTCAGGATGACTGTGATCCACGACCCGGTGAAGGCACAGGCACTGAACCAAGAAATCTGCACCTTGCTGGCCAAGGGTGCTATAGTGCCTGTGGACCCCCTGCTGGATCCAGGGGGCTTTTATTCCACGTATTTTCTGGTTCCGAAGAAGACCGGGGGCCTGCGTCCAGTCTTGGACCTCAGAGGCCTGAATGTGTACTTGAAGGCCATGCCCTTTCATATGCTGACCACCAAGGAAGTGTTGCAGGCGATTTCCCCGGGCGATTGGTTCACTTCCATAGATCTCAGGGATGCTTATTTTCACGTTCCGATCGCTCCGCCCCATTGGCGGTTTCTTCGTTTTGCTTTTCAAGGGAGGCATTTCCAGTTCAGGGTCCTCCCGTTCGGACTTTCACTGTCCCCCAGGGTGTTCACCCGATGTGTTGCAGCGGCCCTCTCTCCTCTGCAGGCACAGGGATTGAGGATCCTCCCATATCTGGACGACTGGCTCATTTGTGCCGCGACGTGGAACCAGGCGGTTCGAGATACTCGGTTAGTGCTCCATCATGTGGGATGCTTGGGCTTGCAGGTGAACATGGAGAAAAACAGTCTGACCCCCTCACAGGAGACTGTCTTCCTGGGCATTGCCATGGATTCCATCTCAATGACTGCTTGCCCGTCACCCCAGCGGGTGGACAGTATATTGAGCGTGCTCCCGGAATTCAGGCGCGGCATGGCGCTGCCTCTTGTGCGGTATCTTCGACTCTTGGGCATGCTTACAGCTGCGTCCGCCGTAGTGCCCTTGGGGCTGCTGTCATTGCGGCCCCTCCAGATGTGGTTGAACAGCTTGAATCTGGATCCCACACGGAACACTCATCGTCTCCGAAGACTTCGGGTGGGGCCTCAGTGTCTTCAGTCTCTGTCCCAATGGAGGGTGAGGTTGTTTATGACCACAGGGGTCCCGCTCGGTTCCCTCCCGTGTCGTCGGGAAGTTGTGTTTACAGATGCATCCTCCACGGGCTGGGGTGCAACCTGGCGGGGTCAAATGGCACAGGGGACATGGTCCCAGCGGCAGGGCAGGGAACACATCAATGTCCTGGAGTTACAGGCTGTGCTTCTGGCTCTTCAGAGCTTTCTTCCAGGCTTGCGGGGGAAGCACGTGCTGGTGAGGTCAGACAACACCACAGTGGTCTTTCACATCAACCACCAGGGGGGCACGAGGTCAAGGAAACTGTTGTGCTTGACTCAACGGCTTCTGACCTGGGCAGCTCCACGCATAGCCACCCTCAGAGCAGCCTACATCCCAGGGCCGGAGAACGTGCCAGCAGATTTTCTATCCCGTCAGAAGCCGCTTCCAGGGGAGTGGAAGCTTCACCAAGAGGTGGTGGAGTGCATCTGGAAGGTCTTTGGCAGGGCGGACATGGACCTCTTTGCCTCAAGGGACGCATTTCACTGTCCCCTTTGGTTCTCGTTGGACAACAGCAGCCCTCTGGGCCACGATGCTCTGGCACACGACTGGCCCAGGACCCTCCTTTATGCCTTTCCGCCATTCAGCCTACTTTTTCAGACTCTCCTCAGGGTACGTTAGGAGGGGCACAGGGTCCTGCTGGTGGCCCCCTACTGGCCAGCGAGGACTTGGTTTCCTCTACTGTGCGAGCTCAGCTCCGGCTCGCCAATGCGTCTCCCCTCCAGGAGAGACCTTCTTTCCCAGATGGGGGGTCAGATCTTGCACCCCGAACCGGACCGGCTCCAGCTCTGGATTTGGCCCCTGCAAGGCCGGGGTCCACCTTCTCAAGATACACTGGGTCCATAGGGCATACAATGGCTAATGCATGGGCGCCGTCCACGCGAGCTGTCTATGCTAACAAGTGGACGGTCTTTGCGACCTGGTGCCGTGATAGAGGGCAGGACCCGGTGCAGTGCTCAGTTTCTGACATACTCACCTTCCTGCAGGCATTGCTGGATCAAGGACGGTCCCCATCTACCTTAAAGGTGTATGTGGCTGCCATTTCCTGTTGGCATGTTGGGCTGAATGGTTGTTCTGTGGGCCGAGACAAGGATGTTGTACTGTTTTTAAGAGGTGCTCGGCGTTTGCACCCACCCAACCGCCCTGTGGCACCGGCGTGGGACCTTTCTCTTGTGCTTGAGGCTCTTCGGTCCCTCCCATTTGAGCCCCTGGCGTCGGCGGACCTCAAATGGCTCTCACTGAAGACTGCGTTCCTTTTAGCTATGGTTTCCGCAAAACGTGTAGGGGAGTTACAGGCTCTCTCGATAGCCGAACCCTGCTGCCGGTGGAATCCTGATGGCTCAGGCGTTACACTGTGGGCTGATGTAGCATTTATTCCTAAGGTATCACTGCCAGCAGGCAGCACCCAGCCTCTCCATCTTGCCCGGTTTGACTCCGGAAGTCCCTCTGAACCACTGTGTCCTGTCCGTGCCCTTGAGACATACATCAATGCCACGGCATCCTTCCGAAAGACAAATAGCCTTTTTGTTTGCTACGCTGGCTCACGGAAAGGTCAGGCACTTTCTAAGCAGCGACTTGCACACTGGGTTGTGGATTTGATCTCCAAGGCTTATGCCTTGCAGGACCGGCCACTGCCGGCGGGAGTGAAATGCCACTCTACAAGGGGCATGTCGACATCGTTTGCTGCTATGACTGGGGTGCCATTGGATGTTATATGTCGTGCGGCCTCCTGGAAGTCACCTAGTACCTTTACTCGGTTCTACAGGGTGAATGTGGCTGCGCCCCATCCGCTTCAGGGAATCCTCGAGCAGCATGCCTCTACATCACATTAGGTGGGTGGTGTAGTCGTTGTTCCTTGAATGTTGCTGATTCCTCGTGACCTTGTTGATATGAGTCATCCAGTGCTTGAAGCACCGCCTCTGGCGGTCAGTAGGGATGAAATAGAACGAAAGTTACTACCGTAACTACGGTTCTATGAATCCCGGATGACCGCCAGAGTGCTTGGTCCCTCGGAATCTCTGCTTTCGCGAGAAGATTGAGGGATTGATTGCCGGGTGCCACGTGACTATATAGAGTCACGTGGGTCCCCGGCAGGTCACAGCTGACTTTGTTGTCATTAATACTCGACCTGCGCATGCGCAAGAATGATCATTCAGTGCTTGAAGCACCGCCTCTGGCGGTCATCCGGGATTCATAGAACCGTAGTTACGGTAGTAACTTTCGTTTTGAGGCCAGCTGACAACCAGAAGTATGCACTTGCCAATGGCAAAACCTATATCGCTTTGGGAAAGCAATAATCATTTATGGTTGGCATGGGATGATGTGGTCTTTAGAGACTTTTGTGGTGAAGGATAATAACCTTACCTTTCCCATCATCCTAGGGCTCGACTTTTTGTCCAAAACCTCTGCCATTACCAAGCCAGGTGAGTACACCTATCGGTTAGCCCGAAGGAGGGCTAACGTTAGCCCGTCTGCAGCGGCCCTCTCTCTGCATAGCCGTGCGTGAAGGACCACTGGCTCTGAAGGAGTTTTTTTTGCTTTATTTGGCGAAATGTTCATTTGTTTTGTGTTTTTCTGACAGTTTTCATTAATATTCCTACACTAAATGAAAAAAAAGTCATAATTTATTATTATCTAGAGACTATTAATAACAGGAGGTGAATGCAGCTCCAGACTAGCTTTTAATGTGGTGATGTCATCAGTACGCTTCTGTTCCAATTGACCCATATTCATGCTGCATGCTCCCGTTCTCCCAGAGGTCATACTTTCCTGTGTTCTTCTCAAGAAAATGCTTGGTGAGACCACAAGTCCGTACTCACGCTCTTGTGATTAGAGAAACGGACATAGTAACAGCTGTTAGGGGCTCCAATAAACATTCTTCTATCTCGGACCTCTATGCCTGTACCAAAAGGATTTATACATGTTAATTGTGGAACTTTTAGGTTTGTATCATCAAGTAGAAATAGCTTCTGAAACCCTCTGGGCCTTAATTCTAAAGTCTTCATGTACGTAAAATAACCTAAACCACATTTGTTTTGCAGAGTTATTCAGTTGTTACGTGTCTGTCTACCTGGATCTTGTTGGAGGTCCATCTGCTGTGAACCTGCGACTTGTCTTCTGGGTCCATGTTTGCATGATAGGGATGAGCTGATATGTCTCTTTTCTTTAGTTCAGAGGAAACCATCTCAGCATCCTTCTGGGAGAACACGTAAACTATGCCTGTGGTACAAACATGGGGTCACAATATGGCAGCTCTGTGTAGAAACATGCAGCAACAATAAAAGCAGAGGAAAAACCATGGCAGCTTCTACCTGACTGGTTCTTGTATTTTCCTTTAATCAGCGAGGTGATGTCACTCATTAGAGCCTCATTGTCTGAGTCTTTAATGCGAACCTGGGGAAAGAAAAAAAACAAAACAAAATAGGATTTTGGGTGAAATTAATCTGAAATCTCACGAGTGGAAGGATGGAATGCAATAGAAATAACTAAGGTGTCCAAATATCTTTCAGACTCAATTTTATGTGATAGACGAAGCCTCCTAAATAGATAGCCTCCTCAATAGTAACTCTATATCAATATTTAATCCATTAATGTCTCTTTAAATCTTTTCACATCCCGCTCTTGCTACCATTAGATAAAAACCATTTAGCCTCCCCTGTTTCCACCAGAGGCCTGATCCGCAAAGCAGATACCTTCCGGTTTAACTCAGACTTTCAGGCTCCACAAAGCTGGATTCATTCTTAGCGAGGCAGTTACCATGGTAACATACTCTGAACAGCAAACTTGCTGCAGGGCTGGAATAGCTTTCAGGATGGATCTGAAAAAAAAAACGCTCCACCATAAACCTTTAACTTGCTGTTCCAGGAGAAACCTCTGCATACCTTCCAAGGTCATTCGCCTCCTTAAGTCGCACAAATGCTGAAACGTTTGACTGATGTTTCCTCTACGTTGGAAACCATCTCACATTACTTTAAGCTACAGATACAGAATCAACATAAAAATTGTAACCAGAGATTCATCATTTTATATTTTGGACCTGTCAAACTTTACAAAAGAATGCAAGTTTTTAAAGTATAGTTTATTCTTTTATTTTCTATCTCTCCAGATTTTTTTGAAGAAGTAATAACAAAAATCAGCAGTAGCAGCTGTGACCTTTAAAGTGCTCTGTGCACACAGCAAACCACCACACATGAACATGGACACAGGCCTGATCTAGTTTTTATCTTCCTTTTTCTGACGCTGAGTTTCTGACGCTGAGTATCTGATCTTTCCACTTAACCTTTCCTACTGATATCCAGCATGCGGTGGGAGCCTTCACTCTACAGCTTCTGCTAATGACTGGAAATCCCTGCAGGCTGGTCTGTCAGAAGTAGGTCCAAAGACCTCGATGAGACCAGAAATCTGGTCTGACCGATCAAGAAAAGGGGTGATGGGGGGGGGGGGCCTTAGACCTGAAGGATAAGAGATCAGCATCCATTAAATAATTCTGACATTTCCACTTAAAATAATCTTTTTTAAAGTATCTTAAGTTGTATTTTCATTGTCTATGACACTAAACTTTGTGTATTTATCTTCTGTAAACCATGAATAAAGAAAAAGATGTCATGGTAGAAATATTTTACTCTCTGTAAGCATCTGACCATATTCTATTTCTATAGATGTGGCTTTGCGTTTCCATACATTCATAAAACAGCATCGGTCAAGTTTTCTCTGCTGGTTACAGTTTTGTCCAGAACTAGTTTTGAATAATTTGTGGCAGCATGGACTGCCTAACAGGAAGTAGCTCCTGTTTCTCTTACTACATTCAAAATTCTGCATTTTGTAATTATTATCATTTGAACGACTCCTTAATGAAATTTTTTTTTGAAAAGTAACAACCGGTATAATGGTTTTTTAGATTTGAAATATTCTACCTCTTTTTTCTATTTAATTATTTTACATTTATTTTTTCAAAACATATGTTCATATTTTATATTTTCAAATTCTATTTTTTTTTTTTGTTTTTCTTATTTTTACAGATTTTATATTTTCTAAAATTATTAAACATAAATTGTGAACAAAAAATTAAAAAACAAATTTTTGGAAAACTAAACTGAATAAAAATAAATATTTAAGAATCAAAGAAGACGGAAAAGTTACAGTTAAACAGTTTTTTTCTGATTAAAATGTTTGATTTTTGAACTTACAAATTTGCAACAACAATGGAGCAAAATTCCTCCAAACATCTCTAGTAACTTTTAGACGTCTCCATGACAACAATGCTAACATTACTGAATCAAACACTCAGTGGTCGATTATTCTCCTAAGAAAAAGCAGTTAGATGATTGAACAGTTTTATTTATTCACTCCACAGGGAAGCAAACCTTCGTTTATAACAAACCGACCGACTGTGTTGTTCTATCAGAGGCTGTAACATCAGAGTTACCTCATAGTACAGATTAGTGCGGTTGAAAGAGGCAGTGATTGTGATTGGCTGCTGCACACACAGGATCTTCTCGCAGTCTTTGAGGACGCTGCTGGTTGCCGTGGCGGTGAGGCCAAACAGCGGCACCGAGGGAAACTGCCTCTTTAGGATACCCAGGAGTTTATAGTCTGCAGCGTAAACACAGGCGTGAGTCACACAATGTTTACAACCTTCTAACATGAATTTAACATGATGGAATAAATAGAATATTCACCAAGTTAAAAAAAAAAGCTATAAAAGTCCCACCTGGTCTGAAGTCATGTCCCCACTGGCTGCAGCAGTGCACCTCATCCACAGCGATGCGGCTCAGCAGCTTCGCTTTGTAGGCTTTCTCCAGGCGGGACATCAGCAGCTTGCTCTTGGCAATCTTCTCTGGAGTGACGTAAACCAGCTTGAAAGGAGCTTTTGGATCGCTCATTCCAGCCATGACAAGCTTGGCGTGTTCCTGTGTTTGTTAAAAACAAACAGACACTGAAATAGACCTGCTGCTGCTTTACTGCTGCTCTAATACTTTATGCTGGAGTGGAACTTCTGAATTATAGACTAGTGCATCCTAAGGACCAAACTCCTGGGACCAAATATAGCAGAGTGGTGTCTGCAGTTCAATGCAGTGAGGAATGTTCTGATCTTTAAAGTGGAGAAACCAAACAACCTCTCCACAGACGCATGGAACAACGCAGAAGAGCGCCCCCCTCAGGACAAGACTCTGTGCTACTTTTACGCCTTATGGACAAAGGACATTCTTTAAAGGACCAGAATGTTCACATTTTGGACAAAGGAGACAGGTGGTTTGAGAGGGGCGTGCAGGACGCCATCTATGTTAAGAAAGAAAAACAACCTTAAACAGAGGGGGGGGGGACTCAGGTTTCAGCTTTCAAAAATGCAGTTGATCCCTTCTCGCTATCATCGCAGCCCCAACCCCTTTACAGGAGAGCAGAAGGCTTTACCTATTCAGCCAGGCCAACAATTACCTCTAACGACCCCCCTTTCAGAGACATAGACAGGTATGGGGCATTGCAGGCTAACAAAGAAGCCAAACGACCCCCATTCCAAAAGGATGGACCCGTTTATCCGTTTTAATTAGCATGTTTTCTAACGTAAACAAGGCTTTGTTGGGCTGCTGGATAAACCTGGAACTCAACGCTATTTCTGACATTTTGATTGAAAAATGCTTACTGGATGGAAGAGAAACGTCTTCAAACTTAGAAACAGAGTCCAGTGGATTGTTTAACTTTTTTGGATTGACTATGACCTGGATGACTGAGAATCTTCACCAGCATCTATTCAGTAAAAGACGATCAGCTGCGTTTGTAAGTAATCCTGTTCTGGGTTAACGGTTTGTAATCAAATTACTGGTCTGATATACGAACAGAGATCAGGTTGGAAGAAGCTTTTCATATGAGAGGTTAAAAAGGAAACTTTAAGCTCATTTCTCAGGACTAATTGTTAATTAATACCATCAGACAGATGCGTTAAACACTCCAGTGGTTAAAGCAGGTACGGCTCAGTCTGTGTAGAATACTCTAGAGCAGGAAGTACCAACCTTCTTTGATTCATGTTCCCCTTTGGGCATTTTAGTCTTACCATGAGTAAGACAAAAATGAGCCCTGTTTTATTTTACTACCTGATAAATCAAATATTCTCATGTAGCCCTTGCAATGCACTCAAAGACCCTCGGTTGGTAAACACTGCTCTAGAGGAAAAAGATCTATAGAAAGCCTTATTCATCGTAGCTCTAACTCTACTAACATTGTTTACTGATTACATTTAAAACATGGGCTCTCTTCGAAAACCTAGGACGCATCCTTAGAAGACCGGATTCGAAGGCCGATTACGTCATAGCGCGGCGCCGAGGTCTGGTCGGATTACAAGAGCCCTCGTTATGCGGCCTTAAAATGCGTCCTTCTTTTTGCCCGATTTGAAGGACGGGTCCGATGTATCCTCGGTATTCTTGGATATCCCAGGATTCATTGCGAGACCAAGCAAGCTGTGATCTGAGGAAAGGTTACTTGGCGCCGAACAGTGGTGAAAATTGGAAGTTCAGTTTAATATAATACAACTCTGTGAATAGTTCCGTCTGAAATGAATGAAAATTGTTGTTTTAATGGTTACTGAGTCAGATGTGTGGCGGTAATGTTTGGTTTATCTAAAGGTTTTTATCTGTTACTGTGTAAATGAGTTTGGCTGTAATTTAAGGACAGATTCAAATATATTTGCAGGGTGGGAACTATAAATCTGATAGGATTTTTATCTTTTTATTGCTATTTTGCACAATATGCTTAACTTCCTATTTTTTGTTGTTGAATATTAGAGATTTTGCAGATATATTTTTTATACATATATTGTTTAGATTTACTAATATATTTCTACTCCTTTTATAGAATAGAATAGAAAATCCCTTTATTGTCCCACAATGGGCAGATTTACAGCAGCAGAAAGATTATTGAAAATGGTCACACAAATGAGGACCTTAGAAAAATGTATAAGAATAACATAATAGGGAAGAGTTAAAATATAAACAATAAAATACTGTAAAGTGTTTTAACAATATAAAACTGGGGAATAAATAACCAATATGCAACTATGTACATTTTTACAGTCATGGATATTTGAAAATAGCAGCAACATCAGAGATGTGCAGAATGACAGCAGCAGGTTATTTAACTGACTAAGGTTTCTATCATTAGCCTACATTTGATTTGATTTGTTCCTGCTCCCGCTGGTTGGATCATTTATTCCACTCTGGATTCTTGTGAGTGTAGTCTTTGTTCACTTCACAATAAAAAAGAAATAAATAAACAGTTTTGAAAACTTCTGTATTCATTCTTTTCCTGCTTTGTGTGTCAACGTTCACGGTTGCTAAGCAACAGAGCATACGGTGGTAAAACCCGCTGAAGGGTAGACCTGGTCGAATTTACAGCCAAAACTCATCCGGTCTCCTTATTTTCAAGGACTTCGAAGGATCCAGTCTAGGTAGACCGCGTCCTTGGAGGATCCAGTCTAGGTAGACCGCGTCCTTGGAGGATCCAGTCTAGGTAGACCGCGTCCTTGGAGGATCCAGTCTAGGTAGACCGCGTCCTTGGAGGATCCAGTCTAGGTAGACCGCGTCCTTGGAGGACCCTTCCTAGGTTTTCGAACAGAGCCATGATAACTTTTAGCCATAAGGGCACTAAAACTGCCACTGCCAGGTTCAGAGCCCCCTACAGGCCAAAATGAAACTCTCCATTGAAATATATACTAAAATACTTTAGAAATCCTTAAAAGGAAGCGAAATGTTGCAGCAGCTCAGGGGGTTTTGTTTAAGCAGTTGCTGTAGGCAGGAAGGATCCTCTGTAGCAGTCTGCCTGGAACCTGATAGCTGAACAGTGTGGCATCCATCCAATACTAAAACACAAAGATCACAGAACTGCAGGGTGACCAGAAAAGAAAATCTGCTACACTTTAAGATGGATAAACACAGTGGTCAAGAGGACCCAGCCATTCATCTGCAGTACGAGGAGGGAGACATTTTAAAGACAGTAACGTGCAAAGAAGAGAGAGAGACGATATCCAAGTTTAACAAAATGGAAGAAATGACTGTAAATCTGCAACAGTTTGCAGCATCAACGAGTTACTGGCTCCTGCAAGCAGGGGCGGATTTAGGAAATGTGGGGCCCTAGGCAGAGAAAGGCAGGGGGCCCTCTGAACTGAGAAGACAGCACATAAAACCCATTATCTGTTCTAGGTTGTGTCCCTCTCTTCTTGTCCCTTTTCTTCTTGTTTTCCTCTCTATGTTTTGTACTCAGCTGACTTTTCATGCTGTCTCTAAAGGAATGAAAGATTTTTTCCAATCACTAAGCTCACTTAGCTGATTGCTCCTTCCTGTGTTTCCAAAAAGGCCAAAGTAAATAACCCAGTCCTTCTTTTCACTGTAGACAAGCCATGATCTGCTTCTCTGTTCTCCATTTTTCATTTGGATGAAATAATAGCTGCATGAATCATGACAGCAGACAAGATAGAGGAGAGCAGGAGGCGGGGTTACCAATCTACTTGCTCTGGAGAGCAGAGTTCGCTGCTTTTAGATGTTGTCTCCAAAGTCTCCAGTAGCAGAAAAAAGTCTCTAGATTTGGCGCTAGGAGCTTTTTTAGAAATCAAAGTTCTAGAGGGGTCTGAAAAGTGGCTAAATATAGCGACTAAAGCGCTAAGTTAGCAACACTGCTCTTTGCATGGTTTGTTTTCAAATGGTTTGCTGCTGTCTGTTTGGACCTTTCTGAACATGTGCAGCAAATGGACTGGAAACAGAGTTTTATGGGGCCTCCAGGAACTTAGGGCCCTAGGCACCTGCCTAGTATTTCCTGTAAGTAATGATGCTAACGTGGCGGAGAAGAAAGGAGAGAGTCGTTACCTTACTGCTGGAGGCATTCAGCATGACTGCAGGGATATCCAGAGACTTCAGGTACATGATCTGATCCTCCATCAGAGAGACCAGAGGTGTGATGACCAAAGTGAAACCTGCAACATAATCAGCTGGTCAAACAGACTGAAATGACACAGTGTTCCCCTTCACAGAGCACCCAAAAACAAGAAGAGAAAAGTGAGTTTTCATGGTGTGTGTTTGTGTACCCTCAGAGCAGAGCGCCGGCAGCTGGAAGCAGAGACTTTTTCCTCTTCCTGTCGGCATGACAACAAACAGGTCCCTGCCTGCCATGGTTAGGTTGATGGCTCTGAGCTGCAGCGGTCTGAAGGTGGGGAGGTGGAAGGTGTTCTTCAGGTGCCGCTCCAACTCTTTGGACCAAGGGAAATCTAACAAGCACAGGTCTGCTGGTGAAGATTCTCATCATCCAGGTCATAGTCAATCCAAAACAGTTAAAAACAATCCCCTGGACTTTGATTCCAAGTTTGAAGACTTTTCTCTTCCATCCAGAAAGCATTTCTCAGTTCAAAATGTCAGAAAAAGCGTTGAGTTCCAGGCTTTATACAGCAGCCCAATAAAGCCTTGTTTACATTAGAAAACATGCTAATTAAAAGGATGAACGGGTCCATCCTTTTGGAATGGGGGTCGTTTAGCTTCTTTGTTAGCCTGCAATGCCCCATACCTGTCAATGTCTCTGAAAGGGGGGTCGTTAAAGGGAATTGTTGGCTTGGTTGAATAGGCAAGGTCTTCTGTTCCCCTGTAAAGTGGTTGGGGTTGTAATGATAGCGGAAAGCGATAGCAATTGAGTTAATCCCTTCCCGCTATCATTGCAAACCCACAGTGGAACAGAAGACCTCTCCTGTTCAGCCAGACATCTTTATTTGTCAAAGCAAAAACAAAGTTTTGTTGGGCTACTGAATAAAACCTGGAACTCAACGCTATTTCTGATATTTTGAAATGAAAAAGCTTCCTGGATGGAAAGAGAAACGTCTTCAAACTTGGAAACAAAGTCCAGTGGATTGTTTTTGAACTTTTTTGGAAGCCCAGGTCTTATTACATCCTAACAGAAAGCTTTAGGCAGCCGGGGCCCTCTGCTACCTGCACCGTCGTACTGCTTCAGCTCCTGCTTGCTGATCGCCGGGCCTGCAGACTTTGAGGATGACGGTCCGACGCCGCTGCAGGCGTCCTCCAGCTGTCGCAGCAATGCGTTCTTCTGAGACGTCAGTTTGCTCTGTTTGTCCAGGAGCTCTGAGATCTGAAGCTCCACCAGCTCCAGCTCGGCCTCCACGGAGTCCAGCTCTGCCTGCACATCTGAACACAAACACCATCAGCGCTGCAACGGATGGACAGAAATGATAGGTTCACTGGTGAACAGGACAGCTCTGAGAGCAGCTCCCTCTGGAAACTGTCTCACTTCATACTATAAAAAAGAAAGTTGTTTATTCTAGGAGCAGCATGGACTGGATCAACATGAAGCTCAGATATTTACTAAAATAACTATAGAACATATTTTAAATGTATTGTCATCACTCTGAGCAACACACAAGAACTAAACACTAAAGTCCCTTAGAAACTACATCTATTTGTATTATGAGGCCAAAACAAGAAACTCCAGTCAGAAATATTAGGGTCATTAATGGAAGAAAATGTAAGCAGTGACGTTCAGCTAATAACCTCAGAAAAACGGAACAGGATAATACTACGTTCAGACCGCTTGCTGCAGAGGCAGCAGCTGGATTACATGCAAAGTCAATGGTTGACGCTCAGCTAAAGGTCCTGCAGCGCGTCTACAGCAGCTGAAGCAGCGCCTCATGATCATCTGACGCGCTTCAGAAGCAGCAGCTGCTGGAGTTAGAAAAATGTAACTTTAGTTGCAGGATGCTCCACATCAACCAATGAGAGAAGCTGATCTGGGAGCTGTCAGGGAATCAGACACAGCGCTGCTGATGCAGAGCGCTATGATCACTCCTCTGAAACATAAACCCCTAAATTAACTTCAAATGTAGAGACCTGCCGGCAGAATATGTTGGCTTTTATTATCCTGCTGCCTGCAGTTTGTAGCACAGACCTGAAAAACGTTAACATCTACTTCCAGTCGCCACCAACAGGAGGGGAAAACCCCCAAGAGGCGAGCGGGCCTGAGGCAGTGACAGCGCAGCGCCGGTATGTGGGGGTCTGAGCGGCTCCCACAGAGAAATAATCTTTGAAGGCAGGATGGTAATCTGGATGAACTGACTGCACAGACCATGTTTTCAGGAGGACTTTCTCACTTCAACATAGATTCTAACTACTTTCTACCCGCTGATCACAGCTAATATAGCTGCCATTGTTCCAGGCAAAGAAAGGATAGAGTAGCTCCGCCCACCACGCATCAGACCCACTTTAGCACCGCGCAGCCAGAGCAGCAAAGATGCTTCAGCCGCGCATCAGAACTAAACTGGTAAAGCATCAGAAATGAAGCAGTACGCGCATTTCTGATGCTTCTGCTGCTTGCGGTCTGAATATACTTATGATTTTTTTTAAATCATATTTTAGTTTATTATGGGAAAAAAGACTGAGATTTAAGTCTGAATTCTATCTTTTCCCCCATATTAAACTCAAATAAAATAAAATTAAAATCATAGCTTTTTTTTTTTTTTTCCAGTGACTCTATTCCTCTTTAATTTAGTTTATTTCTTTAGCGCCAGCACAAGTCATCTCAGGTCACTTTACAGAGACAATTCCACCAGATCATCCATTGATCATAAAGCTGTATGTTTGGAAAAGAAGCTCGAGGCGGAGAAAAAGCTAGAGAATGGGGAAAATGCTAATTTCATACAACAGTCATGGAACTGTTCTTACAGCTCCTTCATATTTCATGTACACTAATAACTTGTGTACATGGTACTTTTTGGTGGCATTAAAATAATTTCTAATAGCATTAAAAGAGCTGTATGAACCCTGTGAACGTTTATTTTAATATGACATATAAAAAAAGTCCCCATCAGCTTTCAGCATATGTTCAGTTTCTGCCCAAATATTTGTTGTGGATCTTTGTTTTAAGAGGCGCTCTTAGAAGTTATAAATGGATTTGATCAAACATCTAAGCCTCTCGGTATAAAATTAATATTTTGATGGAGATGAGAAATGCAATGAATCCTCTATGATTTAAGTAATATATATTTATAAGATGGATATTTCCCACCATAAGTGGGGTTGGTATCATCACTCGGACCTTTAAAGGCAGATGGAGCCCTGCTCTAATCCCAGCAGTTTAAAGCAGTGATCATCAGTTATTACAAACACTCACCTTTAGCTCCAACGTCCATCTCCTCAGGGCAGGCCACTCAATCTTCAGTCTGTTATAAAGGATAGATTTACCGTTAGATTCAGGGGGGGTTTACCATTAGGTGATACTAGGCAGTTGCCCCCCCCCTTCAGTGTCCACCATATTGGATCAGTCCATTTGCTGCAGATGTTCAGAAAGGTCCAAACAGACAGCAGCAAACCATTTGAAAACAAACCATGCAAAGAGCAGTGTTGCCAACTTAGCGCTTTAGTCGCTATATTTAGCCACTTTTCAGACCCCTCTAGCGCTTTGATTTCTAAAAAGCTCCTAGCTCCAAATCTAGAGACTATTTTCTGCTACTGGAGACTTTGGAGACAACATCTAAAAGCAGCGAACTCTGCTCTCCAGAGCGAGTAGATTGGTAACCCCGCCTCCTGCTCTCCTCTATCTTGTCTGCTGTCATGATTCATGCAGCTATTATTTCATCCAAATGAAAAATGGAGAACAGATAAGCAGATCATGGCTTGTCTACAGTGAAAAGAAGGACTGGGTTATTTACTTTGGCCTTTTTGGAAACACAGGAAGGAGCAATCAGCTAAGTGAGCTTAGTGCTTGGAAGAAATCTTTCATTCCTTTAGAGACAGCATGAAAAGTCAGCTGAGTACAAAACATAGAGAGGAAAACAAGAAGAAAAGGGACAAGAAGAGAGGGACACAACCTAGAACAGATAATGGATGTCTATTCTATTAACATTTCTCTATCTGGAGAATGGGTCTGCTTTGTGTGTTGTCTTCTCAATTCAGAGGGGCCCTGCCTGTCTTTACCTAGGGCCCCACATTTTCTTAAATCCACCCCTGATTAGAATCAAAGAAACTTTATTCATTTCCTTCTTTTTGCCAATCAAAACAAAATCCCTTTTAATTCCAGGATTTCATTCTAAATATGAATTATTGTGTCCTTTATTAGGTTCTGCAAATATCTAAATCTAAACTAAAATGTAAAAAAAAAAACCTTCTGCAGAGTAAAAACTGTCACACACAGCTGGAGCCAAATAAAAATAAAGCATTGAAATCCTGATAACTCCATATCATTAAAGATGAGTGATCACTAATCACCATCAGCACAGAGATCTGGGTGACATCAGCACAATGACAGGGAGAGAACATCAGGGTGGAAGTGTGGTTGAATCTGTGAATCTCTCTCCACCTTCCATCACCTGGGGCCCAGGGGCCTCGCTCTGCTGCAGAAAACATATTTGGTTTTACCTGACCAGAAAACAGGAGATCCTATAGGGGCCTGATCCCTGATAAATCAGCATGTTGGTTGAGCTTAAATTAAATTTAAATCCCACAATTGGTCTTATTTTAGTAATGAGATGAACTGGTTTAAATTCTATTCAGTTTATTTCTATAGCACCAATTCACATCATGTCATCTCAAGGCACTGTACAGTTCACCAGATCATCCAGTCAGATTGATTCAAAGTTTTCTATCTAAGGAAAACCAGCTGATTGCATCGACTCATTGACTAAGCATGCTTGTAGCGACAGTGGAGAGGAAAAACTCCCTTTGAATAGGAAGAAACCTCCAGCAGAATGAGCGGCCATCTGCTGATGCTGAAACTTTGTCAAAATTGTATTGATTTTTTATCATTTGCTTTGCCCTAAAAAGGATGGTTTGATTTTTCATTGCCCAGCACTTTAAATTCTAATAAAACCTTTTTAAAGTTTGTCATGTTGACAAAAAAGGCTAAAACGACAGCACTGTGCACAACAGCACAAATGAAGAAAATATATAAATGGATAAATAGATACTTACAAGTTTAAGTTGAATGGGCAGCATATAAGTCCTGGTTTCATTGACTGCTGAGGGTGATTTCTTCAGAAAATCCAAACAACGGGCTCCGAAAGAGCCCAAAAAGCTCCAACCTAGAACCTGCAGCTCGGCTGAGTTTACTCTGAAACATCAGCAACCAGTGCAAACCTGCCTCCTTTATGTTTTGTTTAAACATCCACTTCTGTTGCTAAAGCAGACAGCGATTGCGCCTTAAACGGCAAAAGGAAAGTTAGCCCTCAGTTTAGTCTGATAGGTGGGGGAGAATTCCAATTCATTTCCAAAAAAATCTTACTTTTTTAACCTGAGCTCATTTACCTGTATTTTCCAAAGTGGTAAACTAAGTTAATATTTTAAAGATAACGAGTAAATATAATCTACAGCAAACATTTCATATAGTTACAGCCCAATCTTAGTCCTGCCTATCAAAACCTGCTCAGGGTTTAGTGAACATTGTTCCTTCCTGTGTTTCATTCAGGAAAGGCAGTTCATCACCGCCTGGTGTAGTCCGCTCGGTGATATATTGCTCCTTATTCTCTCTTGTTTAGACTTTTAGCTACATACGGGCTGAAAACTATTTGTTATTAAACTAAAAAATGAAATCTGCGGGTGAAGTGAGGCGTTTGAAACAGTGGCGGTGTGTAATGTAACTCGTTCCGCTGACCCGGAAGAGAATCGGTGTGGGACAAGTGTTTCCGGAAGACGTGGCTGTTGATGCTGTGGTAGCTGCTGTCAGCCAAACCATTGGAAAGATTCAACAGATTGTTTTTATTATTTAGTTTTTTCTTTTTTTGTTTTAAAGCTGAATTCCTGATTGACCATCGAGATGATTTCGCTTTCGGATTCACAAAGTAAGACTTTAACAGTTTTACAGGAACTAAAGCTTCCAGCTAAATGTCAACATGATCCAATCTGAGCTCCTGGAGCTTCAATCTAAACTCATTTATTAAAATTGCAGCCTGACGGTAGCCGATGACATGTTTCATGACTAGAAAATTAAAATCTAAATAAACGAGGATGTTTAAAGCACTCTAATATTATTATTATTATACTTCTTTAAATAGTAATCATGTCAATCTTCCTACTGATGGCATTGCAGTGATCACACCTGGAAATACCTGGAAAAACAACAAGATTTGAGAATTTATATTGTTATTTTGTTCAGAATCCAATTTTTTTTTTCATAAACAAGAAGATTTCCAGTTTCTAAAAATCAATAATGATAATGTATAAAGTGAATTGCTGTTGTTAGTAGAAGGTGGCAGTTTGGTGAGATGTCCACACAATAAAGGAAAGTCAAGTGGAAGGAAAAACGTTTTTGAGTAGTTTGTGAACAGAAGGTACAGGAATTTGAGTTAGATTCCCATGGTGCCACCTGACAACATGAGTCACCCCAAGGCAGAAAATATTCAATCACATCCTACAGGCCAACTGGTCAAATGTAGGAATGGGTGATATGGCTTAGAATCTCACCTCCCAGATTAATCATTAAGTTTCATTTTTAAGAAATTACAAATTCAATATGTTGCTTTCAAAAGCTAACTTATTTCAAATTGATAAAAATTCAAGCTGTGAAAAAGCTTGTAAAATAATCATAAAAAAACAATTGGTGACAAAAATCTAGATTTTCCAAAAAATGTAATCTTCATCAATAAAAATAATTCATTAAGCTGTAAAGGTGATTAATTGCTCAGCACCTTTAAAAGGTTTTCTAAAGAAAACCACCTGATTGCATGCAGACATTGACTTGCAGGATTTGCTGCTGGTGGTTCAGCATGTGTCCACAGTAGACGTTCTCTTGCATTATGTTGTTGATTATCACCAACCATGGAGCAACGGTGGGGAGGAAAATCTATGTTTAATAGAAAAAACCTCCTGCAGGACCAGGCACAGGGTGGACGGCCTTCTGCTGCTATAAAATAAAGTAGAAGCCTTGATCCATTAAAACTTTACCATCGTATTAAAGCTAACAGTAAACTAGCTCCACAGGTTGAAGCTAAACAGATCAGCTCTGAGCCTGTTTTCATCTCAAAAGGATGAAAGAGAGCACATAAATAGTCTGAGTAAAAGCTGAGCACAAAGGAGCGAAACAGGACTAAAGACTGAAAAACAGGCTGATCTCCAACATCTAGAAACAAAGGTGTTGATGGCAGCAGCACAGCTGATATTTCTCTCCAGGATGGAGTCACAGCCAGACAGGAACAGACCAGATGAAGCTACTATGAGAAAAAGCAGAGAGAGCAGAAGGTTTGAGATTGAACTAACAGATTCTGCAGAGTGGGAGAATAGAGATAGAATTAAGCAGAATGATGAAAAAGGGGTCCCTATGTCCTCCAGCAGTCTAAGCCTATAGCAGCATAACTATAGAGATAGCTCAGGATAACCTGAGCCACTCTAACTAGAAGCTTTATCAAAAATGAAAGTTTTAAGCCTAGCCTTAAAAGTAGACAGGGTGTCTGCCTCACGGACTAAAGCTGGTAGTTGGTTCCACAGGAGAGGAGCCTGATAACTAAAAGATCTGCCTCCCATTCTACTTTTAGAAATTCTAGGAACCACTAGTAAACCTGCAGATTGAGAGCGAAGTGCTCTGTTAGGAACATAAGGAACAATCAGATCTCTGATATCAGATGGAGCTTGGCCATTTAAGGCTTTATATGTGAGAAGGAGGATTTTAAATTTTATTCCGGATTTAACAGGAAGCCAATGAAGAGAAGCCAGGATAGGAGAGATAAGATCTCTCTTTTTCATTTTCATCAGAACTCTGGCTGCAGCATTTTGGATCAGCTGAAGGCTTTTAACTACAGTTTGTGGACTTCCTGATAGTAAAGAATTACAATAGTCCAGCCTTGAAGTAACAAATGCATGGACTAGTTTCTCAGCATCACCCCTGGACAGGATATTTCTCATTTTGGCAATATTCCTCTGATGAAAGAAGGAAATTCTAGAAACCTCTTTGATATGGGATTTAAATGACAGGTCCTGATCAAAAACAACACCAAGATTTTTTACTTTATTGTCTGAGATAAATCTAATGCCATCAGCCTGAGCCTAGACTTCTAGATCAGCTTCAAATTAGTTAAGAGGTGGATTTTACAATTCATCCTAAGTAAAAT